CACCTCGTTATATCCTCATAAATTTACTGTCCTATTAACAGCTTTTGTAGCATGCTGTCCTTGAACTGGCTATGAAGCACTCACATTTTGCTGATTCTAGGAACTACGCTAGGAAGGCATTAAGTAAAGAGCCCACGAACACATTGGATTATATAAACTACAGCATGCATTACTATGTAATGCAGCTAAAGCAGCTGAAGGAAGCAGGACTGAACCAGTGTTTGGGATGGAAATGAATATATGTACCCACATCTCATGTGCAGCATGGATCTACACACCCAAAGAGAGCACTGCATTAAGCCCTGTACAATCTTACACAGACACTTTGCTTGTAAGTACTGTTTCTTAGCGATAATAAGCAGTTGCACTGGCATTAATCAATACAAGATAGAAACACTCAAGTTCTCACTCAACTACCTATTTCATCCCAGTTTTGGTATTTTATGAAGATCTGAGACATAAAATTTCCATTAAGAAAGAGATCTCAAAACCATATGAAACTTTACCAGTGTGATCTGAAATAACTGGTGTCTTTCATCACTACTCTGAATATGTCTAAATGTGGAAGGCTACACTTCTTTTCCTAACAATGAAAATAATGCTTATAAGTATCTTTCTGTAAAAAGCTTTTACATGCCAAAAATTTCAGAGAGCACTAATGTCTTTTTTTTTAAATAGGAAAAACCTAAACCAAAAAAGTGTTCCCAAAGATTATGCGAAATATCATGAAACTACATAAGCTTTGGGGACTTCTTACTTCATTTTGGGAGGCTTTTTGGTAAAACTAGTATTTTTTTCCAATATATAAAGATATGTGCACACAATTCCAGTACTTCTGTAACACTCCGATGAGTAAATCTGAATTCAATCAAACTAACGCACCAATTTAGCAGAACCCAAAAGCGTACAGATCAAGTCTCCAGTCCATCGAATGAAAAAACAAAGAGCCTGGACAAAGGCATTTTTTCCTCTGCTGACTCTGGCACAGGAAAACATTCTCTTGATGTGGATACCAAAGGCCACAACCACATGGTCCCACTGGAGACATCTGGTTGGAGGTGCACCAGGAAAGACAAAGCTGTGTGCAGGATTACCAGCACACGTCACCTGCCACAACCAGCAGGAGGACTGCTTTGACGACGGGGAGGTGGCCACATCTCCACCGCTCACAGCACTTCCTTTAGAAACACCTGCTTTACATTTATCAAATGTATTTTTATAATTGATGCTTATTTAGTATTATATTAATAACAATATTGCTTTAATGTATTCTTTTTAATTAAACCTGTTATGTACTTCCACCAAAACAACATGGATGTAACATTTTTATCAAGTGAAGAAATGAAATACCGCAATAAATAGAAATTTGGACACAAATCCAACGTGTCAATTTATTCTTTATTCTCTTTGCACTACCAGAGTCTAGTTTGAACAATTCCTCCTCAAAAACATGCAGATTTCACTGGACAGTACAATTATTTGCTACAGCGACATTCAGGTACATTACTTAGATGACGTTAAAATCTTCAAACACTGTACTTCAGAAATTAAGAAGCCGGCATACAGGTCTGACTAGATTCCAAGAACTATGCATTAATATTAAAATGGCAAACACTGCTTATTTTAATTTCCATAACCAAATGATAAACACTGTACCAAGGAACGATCACACACAGCAACAGGTACTTCTTAAGTTCAGACATCACTTTCATACTTTATCCTTACAATATTTTAATGTAGCTCAGGCGGCTGCATCTATTTAGACCAGTGACTGTAAAATTATGTACCTATAATAAATAATGGATTCACTAAATCCATGATAAGGTATTACCTTATAAATAACTGCCAATTCCAATGACACATCAAGACAGTGTTCCTTACAAACCCTACAAACCACTCTATTCAAGGTTCACAAAGTCAACAGCAATTACTGAACATCCAGAGGGTAAAGTGTACATACAGCCCAACAGGTATCTCAACACTCACATTTCAACATATGTACTATATGTTGCACACATTAATCCACTAATTAACTCAAAGTTTGATAAGGGTGTCACAGGTCATAGTATTTAATCTTCTGGCACCTCTTATGTCAAAGAGCAAGGATGCAGTCTTAATTTACTTGTGGTATGCAGACTTAACTGGAATGTTTAGAAGGAGTAAGTGATACATATCCCAAGAGAAAAGTCAAATCACATCACATTTACTTCTGTAACATCTGCCTTTGACCAAACCTTTGCACAGTGTCTTAATAAAGAACTACTTTTCCATGCTGACAAGTACTGCTTTTATTTGGGGGGAAAGGCTGAAGTAATTTACTTCTTGTAAAAATTACTTCTTGTCTTGAAAAAGTGACTGAAAATGATCTAGACCTTCTATTATAATATTGAAAGCTTAAACTACAGAGCTGAATGTAACCAGACACTGACAAAGAACTCTAAGCAAGCTACAATTCATGGCCAGACTCTGTTTTAACCTGGCTGCTTTTTACAGGATACTCTCTCTTTCTTCTCCAAAACCAGCCCCTTCTGAGGCAGTAACAGTGTGGAGCTCCGATGAATCTTTGGAAAGCCTGGTATAACTTGAACGCTGACTCCGCTTGTGAGCAACGGTCTTCAGGTTCTCGTTCTGAACCGCAGCTGAATTGGAACCTGAGCCAGGGTGCAGGATAATTTGTGGTGAATCTCCGATACCTTGTATTTCTTCAAAATTCTGATTAGCTCGGTTGTTTGGAGCACTGTTATTGTTTAGGGTTACTGTACTAGGGGTTCTATTTAAATTGTAGACTTTCTGGCAAGATGGCCAGTTCTCTTCTGGGCTACTCGCTATCAAGCTGCTTTCAGAGGGGCTTTTCTTATCTTCTGAGCAAATAGACATGCGAACCACTGCTGGATCTTGAAGACCACTAAGGCTGTGTGGAATTCCTCTCTTTCCACTGTGACTGTCATCTTCAAGCTCAATGAGATTGGCCTTTTCAAGCTGTGAATCATCTGCTCCTTCATTATGAAGGGAATGATTTGGAGAACTTTCATTGGATCTTACACCAGAGTCAGATGAATCTTTTTTATCCAAAAGGGCATCTGTCAAATATTCCTTTGCTTTGATGAAGGTTCTAATAGGTTCAGATCCATGTTCTGGAGATTTGGGCTGTTTGTCTATTTTGCCATCTGTTTTCTTATCTTTACCTTCCTTAAGAAGTGGAGTATTATCTGATTCCTCAGTTCCTGACTCATCTTCATCACTTGGAAGCTTCTGATACCGGAGAGTAACTCCTTTAAGCTTTAAATCTGCTGCCTGGAAAATACTTGTTCTTTCCAAAGACTTCTTTCCTGGGAGAAGCTTAGAGCCAGACTGGTCAGATTTTTCATCTTCCTCAGTAATAGGATCCAAAGGAGACGCATCACTAGTAGAAACACCTGAAGTACTGTAATCAGCATCATTCCTCTTCAGCAAGAAGGACTTCCTGCCATCGTCTTGTTTCTGTTCACCATCTTTCCCTTTTTCCTGTTCTGCACTGGAATGCAGGGAACCCCCAGATGTACTCTGCCCCATATAGAAAGCACTTGAGCTATGAGGGGAGGACCTACCACTTACTGTAGTAGAATTTGCGCCTCCTTCTAACTGTGACATTTGAGCAATGTACTCTCTATATGCATCTCTGTATTCTGCCTGTACCTTGTCAGTAAGCTTTGATATTTCAATACTTGAATCCTGAGAGTTAAGACTCGAAAGACTCGGAGTTCTACGTGTTTGTGACTGGGAAAAAAAAAGAAAGAGAACAGTTAAATGAACTATTTATTTTCACTTTTACTAATCTCTGAAATTAAATAACTCAAAGCATCTAGTATGTGCTTAAATTATCTTTTTTGTTACAAATAAATTATGCAAGTGAAATGCTATAATTAAAATATACTCACTGTAACCATATATATGCAACCACACACATTCACTAAACTTACAAAGCATTCCCATTCTTGGTCCCCATAGCATAAGTTTTCCACAAAACAAGTATCTTACCCAGTGCATTTGAGGCTAACTCTTCTTGAGTATGTCAAGACAGGCTTTTCTAATAAATTTTTTGTACATTTACAAAACTGTTAAATGAAAAAGACAGCAAGAGTTCACCTAAGTGCTGAACATCTCTCAAAAACATTTTTAGAAGACTCTCATTCTACATACTTCAATACGTCCTGGCAAAATTCTACTGCATGTAGGCCATTTCAGAAAAATCAGTTCTCGGACAGATAAGTCTGAGAGATTCTGACAGACTTGAGAGTCTGACTTATTTCTACCTGGGACAGAAATCTATCTCTGGGACAGAGATATCCCTATCCCAAACCTCTTCTCAGTGACAATTTTGAATATTCTAAGTATCACCTATAGGAAAACACCTCAAATTACAAGCTATTTTGAGGAACCTTAAAATTTTCCAATTTACACTTCTAAAACCAGAGATTTAAAAGCTGTAAATGTTTGGGGTTTGTGTTTTTTGTTTTGTTTTTAATTCTAATAATTATTTAGATACTGATTTGTCTTATTTCTTAAAAAGGACAAAAGAAAGATCACACACTTTGGGTGATTTCATAAGATGCAAAAGAAAATTGACCACAATTGGAGAAGGATGTCAGCTCTGGAGTCTATGAATAGATTATGCGTTGTCAGGACAAGGCCCTGATGTCATGGAGCACAGCAGTTGCCTGTTTAAAAAAAACCCTGATAAATGTATCTGTAATCCTTTGAATAGCACAACATCTGGCTAGCACATAGCTAAAATATTTCATTAAAAAAATCTGAATACTATGATAAACAGAAATTTTGCAGGATGCCACCCTAATCAAGAAGAGAAAAGCACAATATTGATTTTTATCTCTTGAAGAGTGGTTACTCAAACAGATGAATAGTTTTCAGGTGGCAAAGACAGTAAGAGAGTGTGGTTAGAGTTTATATCTCTGCAAAACTGGTCTTTGCCAAGACTGAGAACTGGAAGTACCTGAACTGTCACAGTAGACTTTTTTTTACCTCTCTGTATTCAAGAATGGAAAAAACCCTTTACCATACAGGTAAGCAAGCAGAATACATTTCTCTGTTAAATACCTGCCAACTTAAGTTACTGTGGCGTGGAGGAGCTTCATCAAGACCAATTGTGTTGAGTTCCTCAAAGCTGAAGTTAAGTGTGTAGGGAGCTTGACCAGAAAGACCTGTAATCTCAGTGTGAGGCAACTCAGTGTTATGGCCAGGACGACGAGTAAGCTCACTATGAGGAATCGCAGTGGTAACATGCTCAGTCGTTCCACGAGGATCTTCCTGAACAGCCTGATTTTCTGAGTTTCTCATTTCAAGTATCTTAACACACAAAAAGAGACAGTATAAATGTAATTATGTAAATAGAAAAAGTTCTTAAAACTGTTAAAGAATTCTATTAAAAACAGGAACAAGTAATTCACAACTGTAAAAGTGTACCTGTGTATGTAATTGTGATCATGGAAAAGTATGAAGAAAAGTCTGTTCACAGATCTAGTGCCTTCACTGTATTTACTGATAATGACATTTTAATACTTAAGATTTCCTTTTATTTACAAATTATTCTTATTACTGCTCAGAGCCTTAAAAGAATTCACATGCCACAAAACACTTGAATTTTTGTAAAACTACCAAAGTGATGACAAATGTAAAAGCAAAACCAAACGCTTCCCTTTTATAGTCTAATCAACCTGAATTTTACAAATACATCTCATCTTATAAGTCTCAGTGATTTCAACTTTGATTTAGCAGTTGACATACTGTAATTTTCAGAAAGAAAACTGGCAACATACTAAAAATACATAAGAGAAAACACAGTTCTTCGTGATGTATAACCCTCACTGTAAAACATTTACTCTCAAACCAGGAGGAGGGAAATGGGGGAAGAAAAGTATCTGTATATATGCTTCAATAATAGTATTCAGTGAAGCATTTCATGCATGACACCAGTAGATGTTGATTGAATACTGTACATTTATCTCATTGTCTTGATTTCTAGCTCGTTTCTTTAAAAATAATCCTTATGCAATTGTGTGCCATGCATATCTAACAGTCTGGCTGTCTACTTCCTCACAGTGATATACTTTGAACTCCCTGACTAACTTTTAACAGAAAGACAGAGGCTTCAAAGCACATTAAGTTCTGAACATTTCATTAAAACAGACAAATTTTAAAAGGGAAAACATACAGGAAAAACATATCTTGCAAAAAGAGGAGGCAAAACTTCAGAGTTCACACTCAATTAAGATGCAAATTCAGAGACAACCAGTTCTTCATTTAAGAGCTCAAGACAAAAAGACAAAGTAACAAAATAATAAATGCATGCACGTTTAAAGACAGTATTCATAATCTTAAAGATGATGACAACAAGAAAGCAACAGGATAGAAAAAGAGATAAGGTTCATAATGAAAAAGACTAATTCATGATGACCTGGATACTTAAGAGAAAGTCTTACCATGCTCCTGAACAGATGCCAGTCACCAAAATTCATATTCATTTCTTTTTTCAGTTCATCAATGTTGCACTGAGCCAAGACACGGCCATTTATATTTGCCTAAAACAATAAAACTAAACAATGTAAATTACCGATACAAGACTTACGGCATGGCAGTAACAGACTAAAAAGGTAATTAAAATTGGATATATTGATGGGGACTACTAGTGAAACTCCCCAACATCACTCTCAAGTCAAATCCTATATAATAAATATGGTTTTTTATAAAATAATATTTATTGATGATTGCTGATGGACAAGAACAACCTATGTGTCATAAAAAAATGAAAATATGAAACCCATCAAAAATGTGTACATGAAAAGCCATGATTGTGTTGTATAAAAAGGCATAAGGAAGCAGCACATCAATGGCAGAATATTTCACAGACAATAAACCACATTCAGCTGCCTAGATTTCTCACAGTCAGAACACAAACGGACTGCAGATGCCCAAGGATCTGAAGATAATCAGACAATTCAGTCCCAGACATCATCTGACCTCTGCCTTGAGGCATCTAAGATCAACTACTACCTCCATCAAGTTCACTCTCTGCTGAAATACAGACTTACATTCCTCCCATCATCAGAAATACCCTGGGACAGAAGATTAGATTGCTTTCACATTTTCATCGTCATTCAGAGATGCACACAGAAGCACCTGAACACCATCTATATTCCGGAAGGTGATTCCTTACGTTAGGCATGTCTATATGGTGCTTAACTTATGGTGCTTAACTTCCAACAGCACCAAATCCAATACAGAACCATTTTCATTATGTAACAACGAAAGGGATTTGTCTTTATACCATACATATATCAGTGGATGGACAGAAAGTAGAAGAGGAACCGCATCTTAGGAAAGCAGCCACAAAACAGACGACACAAGTTGAGAGCTCTGCTCGGTCAGAGGAATCTCGATGGCTTTGTTCCCATATCCCAGCAGACAGACTTAATCAAACCAGGAAAAAGACCAGGCTGAGCCATTTTCATCCTTCCTTTTTACATGGTATCACTTGTAGTAAGAAATGCAAGAATATAAGTAAGAGGAATAAGAGATAACTGATGAGCACATTCTTTTAGCACTCTTAGAGCCACTGAAGCAACTGGAATTTTTTGCAGCTACACTTAATGAGCTGCAATCTGACATCCTTCTTGCTTTAACCAACACCACTGAAACTTCCTATGATAAACTTCTCTCTTAATCCTTCAATGAGCATCCTCTCCCTATTTTTTTAAGATACAATACATACTGGAACAAAGCAAGCTCAGCAAAAACATCAACTAATGACAACCTTCAAATTTTTCCCTTCTTTCTTTGTAAAAGAAGCACACAGAACAGTGGAAAAAGAAGTAATAAAGATAAAAATAGATGTGGAATGTGGTAAGAGAGAAATGGAATAACCTTCACCACTCATTTATAACATATGAGGTGTGCCAATTTTTTGGGGGGTGGGAGAAGTGGGAAGGGGGAGTGGGGGGGTGAAGAACGTTGCTACCTGGATACAGAACACATGTGCAACCACATTTATCTACACGTGGCAATTTTGAAAATTACTTTCTTCTTCTTTTCACAAAATAACCAGTCTCATCAGCCTTTATATTTCCGAGTCTGTTTTTCCTTTTTGAGAGAGCATTTTCTCTGAAAAATACAGGCTTGTATTTAAATATCCTCCGAACTTCACACACACACAAGCTAGGATGTTGTTTTGACTTTCGATGTATTTCAAGAAACATTTTCAAGAAAAGAGGCAACCAATATTTCCTTTCCCTTGTGTATCTCCATGTTTAGGTAGTAAATAGATACGTTAAATTTAGCTGATACCTTTCTTATAGTTGCAGAGTACTGAGGCAGCATGCTCTGGTCCAGACCATCGATCTGCTTCAGCTTCTCAGACACAGCTTCCACGCTCATTGTGCTCAGAGACACGTGTGATGCTCCTGCGGTCGATCCTGCGCCTGCTCCTGCTCCCTGTAAGAAGTAAGAAAATGTGCACATAAGATTTCTTCAACTACTGGGTACACGCAGAATTTCACAATATAAGCTAACACAAATCAAGCTGCGTTCAACTATATTTTGAAATTAAGAAATGCAGATAAGAATGAACAGGCATTTTTAATTACTAGCAGAATATCTATATACTGGGAAACATTTATTATAGGTATTTATATGAGGAAAAACACAGCATCTTGCATACTGCCTATGTGAGAAAATAACTCCCTTAAATACTGTTATTTAAGAAATGGAACATAAATATCAGAATTATTAAATAAGGGTTAATTGATTTCAAATGCATCATTACTCAGAGTTTCCCCCTGATTTTAGTAGTTAGTTTGGGTTTGTTTACGTTTTGTTTTGTTTAGTTTTGTTTTAAATAATGCAGAAACAACTTAGATTTTCCTGTCCTAAAAACTCCTGGTTTAGTATCAGACAGAGATGACCTAAACAGTAACTCAATTACTTGGATTCATTGGGTAATTTTAGCAACATCCGTTCATCTTCCAGAGGTTCCTTCAGCTCCATTTATGCAAGATCTGCCAAGGGGCTGTGTACCACAGCACAGAAACACAGAGCAGCACTGCCACTGCCCTCCAAGATACTGTGAGGATGTTCCATATATCTCAAGATATAGATTTAGATAGCTATTATTCACAACTCAGATGTGTAACATAAAAGTTGTCCTGTTAACATTGCCAGCCTCTGGGAATCTCAAAGAAAATGTGGACAAACAAAACAAATGCATCTGGAGGTAGACAGTATATTAAGACAGTACCTTCCCCAAAAAATCCACTTTCACCCTGGATGGGGACCTGTGCATTAAGTAGGAGCAAAGTGCAAAGCTTTAAACAGTTACACTAGAGATTCTTAACTCCTAAAAATAAAACCAGATCCAGTTCTATCAGCTATGAAATACTTGTATGCCCTCCTCCTGGGAGGGAGGTTGTACCCGTCCCTTTTTCTGAACGCG